ACTCCATCTGCATCTCTTTGAACTTCGGTGGCTATTTTCTAGTGATCCTGGCAATGTGTTCCTGTTTCAACCGATCATCAACGACATTTGCGCATTCAAATGGAAAACCAGCAAGGGTCCAATCTCGTTTATATGGCACGTTACAAAAGCTCGTGACTCATGGCTGACGGGCTTTGGCAGAGTTAGGCACTAAGAAGATGAACTATATTTGGGCTGCTTAATGCGCACATTATGTGCACTACGACTAGGTTAGAGACGAAATTCGGAGACAAGGCGGCGTTTAACGGAGTTGGCAATTAGCTATCGAATGCGTTTTGCCCGCTCTACGTCGCCCAATCGCCGGGGCATGATGTTATCCACAAATGTTGAAAAGAACTTTGAACCACTCTCAGCATATTCAACCCAAATACACAAGCTTAAATTTCAATCTATGGTGATCTTCTCTCGAATGGAACTAAATGTAGAAGCAAGCCCATTGAGGGATATTTTTTGGCTTTTGGAAACTGAATATCGATTAACTGCGATGAATTTCAGAGAGCTCCGCGCTCCTGGGGCAAGTGGGTGCATTAGAAAAGTTATCTTGGGCGGGTGTCTGGTGTCGCATCTGGAGCTGGCCCGGCGTGGCGAACGGCGCTCAAACCAAAAGGAGCTTACACTGACATTATCGCTCAAATACGTTGACATCACGGTCATCACGGAGCATCTAAACTTCATTGCCCGACCAGGTGCGGTGGACAACTGACACGGTGGACGACTGGACTAGAGTTGCAAAGTTTTCCCAATGGGCTGCTACCGGCACCGCCCCGCCCCACAAAAATTTTCTGGGATACCGGCATGCTACCACGCCCCAAGCAAAAAAAACCGCCAAATTACCGGCATACCGGTAATTTGGCGGTAATTTTAATACGGCATATGGAACTTTTACCACAAAATGTATTTTGCAGTGGCTAAGATTGCTGTTATTACAATTCAATAGCCTCTTAGTGTCCAAAGTTTGAATCATATGCTGATAATTTTTTTGTGTGCAAAATCAAAAATACCGGCATGCTACCGGCAAGACATGCCAGATACCACGAAAAAACCTGCGGTAGTGAAAAATTACCGGCGTGCCGGTAGTGCGGTAGGGAAATTTTGCAACTCTAGACTGGACAGGGACACCTATCAGCTGGGAGCCGGGTATTGCAGCGGATCGGCCCAGTATCCCCACCGTACTGGCCATCCCCACCGTACCGGCCGCAGCCCAACAGAGGACGGTCCGGACTTCAGCGGGCCAAACTGCACAGCTGGGCGCCGCCTGGTGTGCGATGACGGAGTAAATACCCCAACGCGCGTACTGCCCTGCCCGTGCCCCTTAGATCCACTTCTTCTCTCTGAGCAGTATCTACGCACGCCCAACGGTTCTACAGCGCGACGAGGCCACGCAGTGACTGCCTTAATCGCCTGATGACACCACTTTTTCAGAAAGAAATGCTACGACCCGGACTGTTGACCAGAGCCGAAAAGAGCAGCCGACCACTGACCAGTAACAGCTCGACTTAGGAGTCGAGTTGCGTGGGAAGCGAGAGCGATATGTGAAACATGACCAATGGGCCTGTGAACACTGGACATGTCTTTTATTGTCTTAACAACCCCTGCGAAAAAAAGCAGACCAATACAAGCAAAAAGATTACTTCATTTTGACCTACCTGAGGAAGTGTGTTTCATTTTCTTCTTGAAGAATCCCATTTTCAGTGACTTCTTTTCTTCTCCTCAAAGCCACTGAAGCCTTGACCAACTGACATAGTGGGCGTAGGGTCAGCAGTAGAGGTGACTGGCAAAGTCGGCTTGCTGGCATAACTTGCAGCTCTGCAAATCCAAATAAAGTGTGAGCAAGTGAATAAGGCATGCATATTGTACATCTATGGTACAAAATTGTCATGATTCATCATGAATTGCATTTCAATGATAATGCATCATCTATAATTATGTTAATCAATGATTATGCATCTGGAAAGTCAACTAGTGTGGTTAGTGTCCAGTGGAATGTCCCAAATAAATTGTCTGAGGTGGAATGGCATAACTGCTGAAGACATCATCTGACACCTACCCATTATAGGTTGCATTGGAAGGTTGGTGAGCAGATCTTGACTGTATTAGTTCCTTGTAACACTTGGAGCAGAACCCGCCCCATTGCGGGTTTCCAAAGAAACCACAAAGGTTCTTGCAGAACAGGTCATTCCGCTGGATGTGAAGTTTTGGTCGGGACATGGTGGCTTAGCCTGTGAAGAAAAGCATTAATAAATATGACTCAAAACCAGGTGATTCAACACTACAATAAACAATAGATGCACAAAAGCAGCCTAATATTCTCATTTTTCACTATTTAATGCTGTTCTAATAATTTATTGAGTATGATTTTATTGAAATGGATGACTACAGCCTACAGGCACATGTGCCCACTAAGGCTAAGCAAAGCTTATTCCTTGGCACCAAAGACACATCACCTAGCCACACAGCTCCACAGTTCACTGGTGATTGTTCAGCTGTAGGTCCAGCATACCAAACATAGATGGTGACTCATCAGTCATGATAATGTCAGTGACTGCCAGCTCAAGCTAGCTCCAAACATCCTCCCTTCCTCAAATTGAAATTTGCCAGGCCGACAGACAGGACACTGACAGTTTCTGTCACAGACAAAGCAGGTCACTTCAACTTGGACTCTTGTCATGCTGCCTCATTTCTTATAGCTCAAGCTCAAGCAAGGCTCAAGCTTACCTTTCAAAGAAAAATGAAACATGTGCTGGTAGTTGGTACCCTAATTCAACTTGAACTAGTTGAGGTAAAGGTAATACAAAGACATTCAGAATCGGAAGAGACTAATCAAGCCCGCACACTCCGTCTCCTCCCACTTTGATTTCTGTCTCCCACAACACACGGTATATTCGGTATATTGATATAGAGAACTCCACAACACAGCCACCACAACACAACAACAAGCTACACACACAAACAATTCAGCGACGGTTTTGAGACAATTCCTGGCGCACAATATGCTATATTTTATTTTGTTTTCGTCTATAATATGACGTCAAAAAAAACTTAGAATTGTTTTTTACCAGTGAGATCTCAAAGGACAGAAATTGTTTTTTAATACAAAAATCAGCCTTCAATTTTCAAATATTGAAATTCGTTTGAATCAAGGCTTTCTTGCACCGAACTCCGATCGATTGAAAAGTTTTCTTCACACGGCGTCAAACATATGTGAGATTTTATGACATCATAAAATTATTGCTCTTGAATTTGTTTCTGAATATGGGCGGATTATTGTTCACAAATCACTGCCACCTTGGGGTGTGGAAAAAGATAATTTATTGGATTTATTGGGTCCCCCAGGTTCAAGGTTGAGTGTTACTTTGTACAGGACAAGATTCTTGGTACAGGAATCAATTTCAATTTGGTATATTGATATCGTTGATAAAATTGTTACCGTACTATGCATGTTACTTAACTCCCAAAGCTCTTTTCCAGCCACTAATAAGACTGAATTTCAAACTGGTGCCTGTATTATCAACTTACTGAGTGTGAACAAGGGCTTGATTTGTCCAATAAATCAAGGTATGTAAGTCAAAATACAAGGTAGGCATGGAATATGGATAGCTCAATCAAACGCAAAACTCTAAACCATAGGTAGTGCCTTTTTACTTAATGGTTTTTCCATATTTTGTATCAATGAGTATCAGGAATAATTACTTGAAACTTCATGCAAGAAAAAATTCAAAGAAAATATTGATTTCAGTGAATGCTTCATAAAAGCCTTGTTGAAGTTAGAATATTTTTGTTTAGCAGTTTTTCATGTGTAATGTTGCACTGCTTTTTTCTGCCTATTATAGCTTATAGGAGTGACTTAATTGCATGTCAGCCTTTCATTGGTAAACAGTGTGCCTTATCAGATGGTTGCTAATGAGATGCTGAAAAGCATCAGCAAGCTGGCAGCATCCCAATGCACAATGGCTTCCCACCTACCGACCAGCACTGGCTGCTGGGATTTGTATATGGCAGGTTTAGTGCAGGGTTTTAAAAGCTGTGGAGTGTGAGCTGAGACAGTGCTTGAGAGTTTGTATGGTGCGGTGTGGGTTGAAAAGGTGCAGACTGCAGTTTGGTGTAGAATTCTGGCATTTTTGTGTTTCATCTAAATCATTGATTCTGTTTCCTTGTTTCAGCATACAGTGAAACATGGCCCGTGAATATGATCACCTTTTCAAACTTCTCATCATTGGCGACAGTGGTAAGGATTGGTCAGGGTGAAACAGCTTGGCCTAATCTCCATAAGGCCTGCTACATCAAATAATTCATACACTCTCAGTTCTTAAAGGGACCCTCCCACCTTAACATTAGTTTTGAGTTGAGATAGCCAAGTTTGCGGCCAGGCTCAGAAACCACCATTTATCCTGGTCGCAACCCCCGCAGCTTTATGGTGTTCAAGAAATTTCTTCCCTTTACTTGCAGGGTGGGACCAGCGTGGTCCCTATCTCTTAACCATTACGGGAATCTGATGACGTCATCAGGCTTTCAAACGTCCGTTAAATGTTTGACTAAAACGTTTTGTAGCACGCGGTGGTATATGCTGCTTTGCGCGCAACAAATGCCGCACTTTCAAATAAAGTCGCTAGGAACAGCGGAGATCCCAAAAAGTAAACAAAAGTAAAAGTCGAATATCTTGAAAACCGGTGAATATTTTTCGATGAAATTTGGTAGATATTCGTTTTTGCTCTTTCTGAACCGAGCGACATCACTTTCATGCCAATTCATTAACTTTTTTGAAGGTGGGAGGGTCCCTTTAAGTTAGTGAGTTCTATGACTACATGTTCAAAAAGTGTTTTTACATCCCAAAAGCAGCTCTTGGATGTAATCGTAGTTCTAAACCATGGGAGATGATTGAATGTGTCATCCACAAGAGTCAGCACTGCTGCATTTGCTCCCTTGTTGCTCAAAATTCGTTTTACTGGTAACACACACTTATTAAGCTAGAGATACACCATTGTTGTATAGGTAGTCTTCAAGCTCTCTGGAACTTGTTCACAGGTGTCGGCAAAAGCTCCCTGCTTGTACGTTTCGCGGAAAACATGTTCTCGGGCAACTACATCACGACCATTGGGGTGGATTTCAAGATACGGACGATGAACATCGACGGCCAAAAAGTGAAACTGCAAATCTGGGATACTGCTGGCCAGGAGCGGTTCAGAACAATCACATCCACGTGAGTAATACAGTCACTCCATGTGGCATCCGTACGGAATTAAGCTCCCGCCCTTGTACGTGATTTTGTTTGCGATCAGTTGAGATAAACGTCTCCTTTTTCGGATTATTGACGCCGGCAATAGAAGCTGTTTGGGCTGTAACGTTTCGCTCTGTATTTAACAGCCTCCCTGAGACCTCACTCCATCTCCGCACCCTCAGGTACTACAGGGGCACTCACGGCGTCATAGTGGTCTACGACGTCACTAACGGTGACTCGTTCGGCAACGTCAAACGGTGGCTGCACGAGATCCAGCAGAACTGCGACGTCGTCGACCGAATACTCGGTGAGCCCGTGGGGCCAGCAATGAGCCAAGCAGGCTGATTGGGCGACGCTGCTTTACACTGGACGTGGACGCTGCCTTACACTGGACATAACACGCTTTAGGTGACGTGCATGGTGATTGTGTTGTCTTATTCAATTAGACTCTTGGTGTCCTGTTATATGACTAATCTAACGTCATAATATATTTGTAACTCGAAATATTTGAGTCATGAAATATCGTTTCCTTTTAATAGGCCAGTGGTATATGTGTTCCTAAGTGTAATGCCTCTGTGCTGTAATGCCCAGCGGCGTATGTGTGCTCTGGCTAACCCCAGCTCCTGTCCCGTCCCGTTCGCCGGCAGTGGGGAACAAAAACGACAGTCCCGACCGGAAGGTGGTGCTGACCGAGGACGCCCAGCGGTTCTCCGACCAGATGGGCATCCGACTCTTTGAGACCAGCGCCAAGGATAACATTAACGTGGACGAGGTGAGTCACGTGAGGCGCCGCGGGCCGGGACCGGCCGGCCCACCCCGCCGTCCTCCCTCCGGGCGGCCATCCCGCGTCCTACCTGGAACGGGGTGAGGGGTACCGTCGCTTTTCTTTGTCCGTCGCAGATATCTCGGAAATCAGCGACGCTGCCGTTTCAAGCATATTTTAATCGTGTGTACAAAGATGGTTGTCCTGCCTGAAGACCATATCATCAGGAAATCATTAGCTATCGGATTGCTTCGAGATAATGAAACGCTACTGCGCGGGCTTGACTAACACTTTCGTACCTCCATTGATAAGGCTGTCGTGATGTACTTGATGTATGTCTCAGAGTTTCTTCCTGTTGTGCAGTATGCATTCAGACTCTCAAAAACCTATAGCGGTTGGTTTTATCGAGACCTACCACTTATAGGTGGTCAATGAAAAAACAACAATGCCCTCGTAACACGCATCATAGGGTCAGGTCACGTCTTTATGGGTTACTAAAGCATATTCTTCGGTTTCTTTTCATTGAGATTCGTTGCAGACGACACAGACACAGAGCTTATGGAAAAGTCATAGGTTGGTTTGTAGCGCTTTAGTTCATCTAGGTCATGATTGATGTCATCACTTGTCGATAAATATCCATTGAAGCAAATTTTATCCTTGCTGACGTTGCGACACCTCGACTTAAGATTCATTACGAAAATGTCTCCATTGAGTTTTACATAGTTATTCTCAAGCAAATTTATTCGCGATCGCCACTTTTCGCCGCTTGATCAATGAGGAGGCAACTTATGAAGGGAAGGATATTCTGAAGTTCGGTGGTTAGCGCCACCTTCCGGCCTGACGCGGTCTTAACGGTCTTACGTGACCTTTGAAGCTCTACCACGCCAGTGACATGTCAGGCCTTCTTAACTTTAAAGTTTTATCTCAAATCTGTGCGTTTTCCGATACGCTCACGCATAGATAACATGAATGGCTCACGCTAACAACACTATACACCAGCTTAAGTTGCTCGATGTCCTTTTTATCATAGACATTTTATGATTGATTGGAGACTGCTGTCCTTAGATGGCGCTTATTAGATGGCTAGTTCTCTTTGCTAACGTTTGGTATCCATTTTAGATGTTTGAGGCCATCACTAGGCAGGTGCTGGAATCGAAGAAGCGGCAGAAGGAGGAGCAGTCAAACGCTAACAACGACACCATCAACATCAGGAGGCAGCACACCAAGTCCAAGAAGAAGTGCTGCTAGCCGCGCCGCCGACAGTCAGCGCCGCCGGTCGGCCGGTCGGCCGCCGCCGTCGTTAGTAGGTACTCAAGTCATTTTCTCTGGGCGTTATTGTGGGCTGCGGCTGTCGATGGGACGGGGCCTGGCGCAGAGGTCAGACCGCCACCGCCGGGTCGGTGGAGGCCGCCGCCGGCGCTGAAGACAGCGGCTCGCCCCGCGGGACCACGCCAGTGACGTGCCAGAGGTCGGGTCGAGCGCGCGCCCGTGCGGCGGGCACCCTGTGTAGAGGCGCGCGGCCCGGGTGGGATGGCCCGGCCGGAACTCGCTCACAGGGGTGCACTGAGACCCAGTGTGGAGCCGCGCGGTCCTGGGGCGGTGACCCCGCCGGTAAACGCTCACACGGGGAGCGCCGTGCGCCCGTGCAGCGCTCATGTGATTGGGAAACGTGCGTGTGCGGTGGAGCGTGTGCGATGTTTGGCAGGGATGCGCTCGGCGCCGGGAGAATGGCGGGACGAACCGCTACTGACCCGGCTTTGAGATGGTATTGTTCGCATCAGCTAAACCGACGGAAAACTGGCCCGTGTGGGCCACCCAGTGTTGGCTCTGCTGATGCTATGAGAGGACGATTGTGTCGGGGTTTACTACTATTTTTGGACGGTTTCATATATTTTTGCCTATAGCTGTATTCGGCATCCTATTGCTATGAACCGTTCAGGCCTATCGGACAAAG